GGGTTTAGGGGGGTTTGGGGTTTGGGGGGTTTTAGGGTTTAGGGATATATACTTGACATTGGGGTTTTCAATCAACCAGAAAGGTCTGCTTGGATCCATACATGGTGAGAATAATCTGTTTATCGGGCTTTGCAGTACCACAGCTCTTTTGTGAAGATCTACAACCTGCCCCCTCTCATCAACACACACAGACCCGTGAACCTAAGCATGAACCTTTCAGAGGTCACCTTGGTTCTTTGTCTTGGGCTTGGCAGCCTGAACTTGCGCTAGTTGTGCGTGGCAGTATACGTCAAGAAGCTGCATGTCGCGCAGCATGTTCTGCTGGGCTTTTGCGGCTTCTGTACCTGCACGCTATTCAAACCTCCACTTCGTTCCTACGGTACCTCCTCTCCTATTCTGCATCCAACCCTAAACCCTCAACACTATACCCTAAACCGTGAGATTCGACTTGAGGTGCGTCCCTGGATGCTGAGCCCCAGGACGGAGAGATCAGTGCATGCTGGACGGTTGTCAATGTACATATGGCTATATAGGCGTTATGTAGGGGGTTACTTAGGGTCATACAGGGGTTACTTAGGGTTATATAGGGGTATCTAGGGGTTATGGGACACTAGCTTGGGCCTTGCTACTGCACTTTCCTCGCATTTGCCATTGATTGGCTCCTTATTCTTCGTCTGGGGCGAAAGTGATTGCAGGAAGGACCTGGCAATCACGGCTTCAAACCTTGAACCCCAAAGCGCCACCCAGGTGCAATTTGCAACCCTACAAGCTACAACCTTACACCCCCAACGCTTACACCCCCAAAAACCTCAAGGTACCCCACAACCAGAAACACCTTAAAACCTAAATTTCAGACCCCGCAACCAGCGAAGAGGTTTGGGTTCTGGGTTTGCCCGAGAGGCCTGGTCCCAACTACTGGGAGCCCTTCGTGAGGCCGGCGCGCGCTGAGGGTTCGGGCTTCGGATTGGGGTCTGTAGAGGTTTGGGGGCTTGGGGGTCTTAGGGTTTACAGTTTGGTGTCAAGGAGCTTAGGTTTCAGAGTGTAGGGTCTAGCATCTGGGCGTCGGAGTGCAGTGTTTCGGGTCTCGTGTTCTGGTCTTCGGGGCACCATGGAAACTTTGGCACCCTGTCTGGATGAGCCGTGATGCATCCTGTAGGAGGGTAGCAACGAGCTTTGTGCTCGGGGTTTCTCTTGCCCACCCACACCCCCTTCTTAAACCAAGATGGCGGGTTTTGGACTGTCCCCATGTGCTCTTTTTCTTCAAGAGCGACTTGTTGGGAGGGGGAGCCTGGAGCTCTTGATGTGCGGAATGGCACGTGGGACAGAGCGGTAGCTTGGCTCCGTTTTGCCACTTCTTCGACGAACTCCGTGAGCCTGCTTTCTTTACCTCTGAAATCAACTTTGGTGAGAGCTTTCGGATCAATTTAGGATTTTGATCCTGGGGCTCAGGATTTGGAGTTCAGGGCTCCGGGTTGTAGGTTTGCCCGGAAGTGCCCGCATTATTCATATCATCAGCAGCTAGTCCGGTCAAATCTCTTTTGCAAGAAGGAAGTCAGATGCGAGCCCTTAGGCAAGCCGTTCTCATCAGTCGGCGCGCTTCTGTTCTATGTTAGAGCTGGTGGGACATTTTTTGGTTTCCGTCTTGAAGCATCTGCTGGATTCCTGTTTGCCAGGGAAGTGAGTATGGGCATCCCCGGAGCAAATAACTTACTGGTTTAGTAGGCCCCATACGATCCCTGTATACTATATCCCCTTCTTCCCCAAATAATCCCAAATAATATATTCCCTTATTCCCCACTAAGAACCAGTGAGTTTAAAAAAAGAAAAAAAGAAGGGACATGAACAGGTTCTGGGAGTGGTCGAAAGTGAAGGCAGAGATGTAGGCCCAATGTAGGACGTCCAGAAGGTCGAAGACCTTTGTAATACTCGCCACGAAGGATCCTGTTCGTTATGTGTTACACAGATTTCGAAAAAATCAAGATTTGCCCCCCATCCTCATGATGGATATTCCTTTGATGATGTATACATGTAGACCTACAACTCCCACATCCTTCGCGCGAGCCTGGAGGTTGGACAGAAGTACGGCAAGACGCCGGCTCAGGTTGGTATTAAGGGGCACTTAAGATCAAGATCGTGCTGACTCTTGCTGGGATGCGGGGTAAGCCCGCTGCACTGCACTACAGCTGCCTTTGCTCCTGATGCTACGCCTCACTACTTTGACTATGGCCAATGTTGCTTCCGGCTACTGCTGTTGAAGCGCTACCGCCAGCAGGTAGCCATCAACTGGGTCCTTTGTCAGGCGGGGGGGGGTCTTCGCGCTACCTGACCCCCCAATTCTAAGACTTCTTGACAATGAGGATCTGAGTAGTTACTGCGCCATTTTGCCTTCTGAAAGCTCTTCTAAGAGTTAGAGAAGCATAAAACCCCAGTGTCGAACCGAAGCTTCAGTCTTCCAGATTGAATAGCCCATGATTCGGCTCTACCGACCTGAGCTTCAAGCCCTGAAAACGCTTAAATCCTGAAGCCTCATACTCGGTGGCTTTGATATGCTCTCAGGGGGCTGTCGCCATACCTGGAGTCTTGGTCTCAGCTGGAACTTGCTGCTTCAGAAAAGCACAGCCCAGAAGAAACACTTCTAAAACTTGCTTAGCACAGCTCTCCCAAGCATATCGAAGCGTCGTGGACCCTCAACCCTAGATTGTTATTATCATTATTATTCCAAACATTGCTACTATTACTACTATTGTTATTATGACTATTGCTCTTATTGTTATTATCATTGCTATTATTATAACTCCAGAAAACTGCGCCCAGGCCCGGAGCGCTGCCCAAGCGGCCGAGAACGCCGGTGCCATGGGCCGGGGTCTGAGCTAAGTCTCCCTGAAGTAGATAGAACATGGGGTATATGGGGATGTTATTATAAGATACCCCAAGCCGTTTTCTATCTACTTTAGGGGGACTAGAAGTCTCATGGTGTTCCTGAAGAGGGCTGCTACAAGCTTTGAGACTTCTGAAGAACTAGGGTTTAGGGGTT